GGGACATGACTGCAGATTATTCCTGAGCAATCTTGCTTCGCGGTTTAAGGTAGGATTACACTATAAAGTCGACACTGGCATTAGCGTTGCCGTTAATCACGTAACTTTTTAAAAAAATACGGTTTATATTGCATGTATTTTTGTATGTGCTGTTTGTATGGATGTATCTTTATCAAGCTCAAAATGCTAAAAATTACATCACACTAATTTAGCATTGTCAATAACATTCTCGACCGCTATCGATAGCCTTACGCTGCGCTAAAGCCACGTTTAACTCATACCGTAATCCAACGTAGTAGAAAGTACAACATCTGCACATAAGCGAAAGTCTAAGTTCAAATAACTCTTCAGAATCAATGACTGAGAATCTAGAAAAGATCTGGAAATAAAGGCTGTTGGTGTTGAAACTGTGATCACATTTTTAGGACGCGTGTACCCTTACATTCTAAGATGCATGCAACAAAAAATTAGAATCCTAAATCTTTAAGAGTAGAGTTTAGTGATATGCACTGCAACCAAATATGCGTTCATATTTATAGAATTTGATGTATGATTTGAAATAAAACTATGTGCTAAATAACTATATAACGCTTACTATCGTTATATGATCTATCTTGAATTTTTGTTACTTACATTAAGTCTAGATTTGACAATGCCTTCTGCAGATGTGTTGACATTGACGAGTGTTCTGAAAGTAATGTATGTGGAGCTCATTCGGAATGTGTGAATCGGCCCGGAAGCTATGACTGCACATGTGACAAAGGTTATCGTTTTGAAGAGAACGGTGGCGGATGTGTAGGTCAGTGCTTTACTTGCTCACAAATACTTCCCAGAAGCTACCATATTTTATAGGTAATGATCAAAATTGTTTTTATAGACATTAATGAATGTCGCGAGAGTGATCCATGTGGCAAGGCTTCGGGAGTAGAATGTCTGAATCGTCCGGGTACCTACGAATGCATATGTAAGGATGGCTTTGATGGAGATCCAAAAAGAGGATGCAGTGGTAAGTTTTTACCAGAATTTTCACCTTCCCTATTACATGAAGGTTTCTAATCTCAAATTTTTGATCATTGAAGGATAGTGTATGGATCCTTTCAGACATCGACGAATGCGCTCTCGGCTCACATCACTGTGGATCTCATGCCAACTGCATCAATACCGTATGTTTTTCATAATCAATCGACGATTTTGAACCTTACACGTATGTGAATTGAGATCTAGTTAATATGAGTCATTTTGAATAATGAGACAATAGTTGGAATCCGCAATATTCTTGCTATCATGAGATTTTCTGAAAAGCTCTCGAAAATTTCTAATACGGAAATTAAACCCTCTAAGTGCAAGCTGTCCAAATATGGTTATCACGTTCTTATTCAGCATGCTAAAAGAAGCTCATGCAAATTCCCAACAGTTTGGGAAAATGTACGAAAAATCGATTAGTCGCTAAAAGCAATCTACAGTTTCTGTACTTCTCATATTTTCATCCTGCATTTTGATAAACCCCTATGCCTAATTCTTAACACCTCGAAGCGAAAAGGGCAAAAACTGATGAATCAAAAAATTCAAAACAACTAATCTATATTCCTGTGAATCATTAAATTAGTGATCAGCATTTTATCATACCTTTGTGTGCCATTTCCAGCATCTTAAAGCTGAGACATCTATAAATCAAAGGAGCTAACTAAGACATTTTTCAGAGCGAGTATAATATCTGTAACCAGCATAATTGACTGAATTTTTTAAGGGTCACTCGGCTTTTCGGTAACTTTCTTTGTTATTAAACCAACTCTAGATCGGTGGCTACGAATGCGAATGCCTGCCTGGTTTCGAACGAATCGCTGAAGGAGCAGGCTGCACAGACATCGACGAGTGCTTCTTGTCGATGTGCCATCCAGCAGCAAGATGTTCAAACTTGGTTGGATCTTTCTCTTGTAGCTGTCCTGATGGATTTGTAGGAGATGGAATGCAGTGTCATGGTATTTTTCTTCTTTTTTTATTCGACTCTTGTTTAAAGGCAAACTAGTGATCAATTAGCGACAATATTACAATTGAAACATCGTCTTAAAAGTGGCATTGCTAGCGGAGTTATTATCTATTCCATTTATTCCAGCTCTTTATCATCGATATACTGGGTTGTCGGAAAGTTTTCACAAAAGTTCGAAAAAAC